AAAAGTTCGCAGAATAATTCGTAAATATCAGTTTCCAGAAGTCATTATTGGTAATTCACTAAGTAAAAAAAAAAGCAAAAAAAAAAAAAAAAAAAAAAAGAAAAATCGATGCTGATGTTATACATTAAACGAATGAATTTCTGAATTAAGTGATTAGATTGAAAATGGAATTATATATAAATGTCGAGGTGATCGTTCTACGTGTTTTCAGAGGGGGGGAAGAGAGGGAGAGAGGGAGGAGACGAGCAACGAAAGAGGAATGAGGAAGAGGAAAGAGGGAGCGAAAGAGAAAGGAAGAGAACGAAAGGAGAGGCGAAGGAGAGAAGAATAGCAGAGACGAAAGAGAAAGAGGAAGGGGGAGAAAAGATAGGAAGAGGGAAAGGAGGAGAAAGAGAAAGAAGAGAAAGGGAGGAGAGGAAGGAGAAGAGAAAGGAGATAGAGGAGAGGGAAGAGGGAGGGAGGGACAGGTAAGAGAAGGGGAGGGGAGGAGAAGGAATGAGAGGAGACCTCGAGAGCGAGAGAGTCCTTATAAACTTATGGTTTCGAAGCCGTGACCAGAACATCCGAATGAGTTATAAATTTCTCTTAACTTCAGGAAATAAACGAAAATAGATCACCGTAATTCGATAACAGATTGAATTGTTACTTTTTTAATGCAGGTACTTCAATCAAGATCACTTGCTGGTGTACCTTTGCATAAGATAATTAGATTTCTGTACATATGATTAAAGGTAAACAGTTGTCTCACTCCCTTCACTGCTGGCAACTATAAAGAACGGGACAATACAGTGCTAATAGCGCAGTAAAGTAACAATTCTACATACAATATAGTGAGCACAAAGGCACTGCCAACAGCATACATGTATTATACGCTGGCATATGTTTAATTTATGTCTCTGGGATAGAACAATGATAGTACCGTGTAGTGACGTTAGTACAGTAAGAAGAGGATAACATGGTGAACAGTGGTATAGAGATGTAAGCTGTTCATTACAGGGACAAAAGTGCAGCCAGGGTGCGACAGTAAGATAGACCAGTTGCACAGAACAATAATAAAAAACCTGTGCAATGGCAACAGAACAGTTCGCAGTCTTCCCTCTGCAAGTTCCCGGAGCGGTTGCAAGAAACCTTAAGAATGGCCAAGGGGAAAAAAATACATCGATAACTGCGCATGCGTCTTAGGAAAACGAGGGCTCACTCCCCATACAAAGCCGTTTTGTCTTGTCTTTTTTTGTTTTCAAATTATTTGTACACCATACTTGTCGATTAAAGAAAATGATAATGCTAATGATTCGTGAAGCCGTCAGCGAGTTTGATATCATTAGAATTCCACATTTTTAATTGAATATTTAAATGTTTAATGTGGTGTTTCTCCCGAGGACGAAATGTAATGAAAATCTTCAGGTCATAAGGTAGCAAACATCACATAAAGTGTTATTGCTAACGGCCCAAATTCACTATCAACCAACTAAATGTTTAGACTAATATACACTTCATACAAACCACACAGTTACGCACGATACCTTAAACCTCAACACAAATGGACTTTCAACCGACCAATAATGCCAAAAAAGAGGCCTCTTATATCAAAAGTTCCAGACCACCTTCCACGTATCCCATAAACCGCGTAATTCCCTTTCTCTCACTCAAGCCAAGGGAAAAGGTCGCCTAGGTATTGATCTCGCCTTTTAGTACTGTTCCGGGATTGGGTTTAATTCGGGGATAAGATACGCGCTGTGGAGTTCACTGTGCAGGGCGTGTGCTTTCCATCGAAGGGAGAGAGGATGGGGTGTGGGTGGGATGGATGGAAAGGGGGGGGGGGGAAAAGGGAGGATTGTGGTGGGATGGAGGGGGAGGGTGGGGTGTGGGTGGGATGGATGGAAAGGGGGAAAGGTGAGGATTGTGGGTGGATGGAGGGGGGAGGGTGGGGTGTGGGTGGGATGGATGGAAAGGGGGGGAAGGAGGATTGTGGGTGGGATGGAGGGGGGAGTGTGGGGTGGGTGGGATGGATGGAATGGGGGGTGGGGAGGGGAGGATTGTGGGTGGGATGGAGGGGGGAGAGTGGAGTGTGGGTGGGATGGATGGAAAGGGGAAAAGGGGAGGATTGTGGGTGGGGATGGAAAGGGAAAAGGGGGGGTTGTAGGTGGGAAATTTGGAATTCGATATTTTTTTCGTTGATTGGGGGGTGTGGTGAAGAGAGAGGGAGATCGATGTAAAGGAATTGAGGTTAGGAAAAGATGGGAGAGGGGGGGGTGGGTTGTGGGTCTGAATTTTGAATTTGGATTTTTTTTGATAGATTTGGGAGTGAGAGAGAGTGGAGTGAAGAAAGGGGGAGGAGAGAGTAATGGAAAGAAAGGGAAAGAGAGAAAATGAGGGAAAGAAAAGGGAGAGAGATAGAGTGAGGAAACGAAGGGAAAGAGGGAGAAATGACGAGAAAGATAGAGAGGGAGAAGGTGATTAGGAAAAGATAAAGGCGAGGGTCTGGTGAGGTGATGATCAGGTGAGGGAGAGAGGGAAGGAAAATAAGTAAGGGACAGAAACAAGGGGAAAAGAGGAGCGAGAGCGAAATGATATAACGGAAGAGAGGGAAAAATGAAAAATGGGAAAGGGAAAACACAAAAAAAAAAAAAAAAAAAATCCCATAAAAAAAATAACACAACACCAACAATACATCATAAAACATACAAAAAACAAACAAACAAACAGAAAAATGAACCCCTCGCTCTCCCCCCTTCCCCTCCCCCTCCCCTCCTCCCTCCTCCCAGCTCTAAGGCTTGCCAATAAATCCTTCCAACTTTCTTTGGCTTTTCGCAGTTATGAGACGCCCGGGACATTAAAGGTAGATGGCTGCCTCAAAGTGATTGTTTTTTCCTTTTATCTCTTCGCCCTACTTGTGGCTTTGCTTTCGCTGTTTTGTGCTTATAATATATAGATAGATAGATAGATATATGGATAGATATATGTATATGTGTTATATATATATATATATATATATATATATATATTCATATATATATATATATATATATATATATATATATATATATTATATATATATATATACACCGACATACATACATACATGCATACATACATACATACATACATACATACATACATACATACATACATACATACATACATACATCCATACATACATACATACATACATACACATAACCACACACCAGTATGCGCATATGCTTATACCAGAGAGAGAGAGAGAGAGAGAGAGGAGAGAAGAGAGAGAGAGAGAGAGAGAGAAGAGAGAGAGAGAAGAGAGAGAGAGAGAGAGAGAGAGAGAGAGAGGAGGGGGGGGGGCACAAGTAAGAGTGAGATCAAGCGAAGAGCGAGTGAACGAGATTTAGAAGTGAGAGAGAGTAAGAGCGAATATGAGAGAAAGAGCAAAAATGAGAATATGAAAGCGAGAGTGAGAGCAAGCGAGAGAATGAGCGAGAGTGAGAGTGGGCCACAGAGTGAAATGAAGAGAGAGCAAGAAGGAGTGGCAGTGAGAGTAAGAGTAAGAATGAGAGGTGAGTGAGGATGAGTAGAAGTGAGAGTGAGAGCAAGAGTGAGTGAGAGCCAGCGAGAGGATGAGAGTGAGAGCGAGAGGTGAAAATGAGAGTGAGAGTAAGAGTGAGTGAGAGTCAGCGAGAGGATGAGAGTGAGGAGCAGAGTGAAAATGAGAGTGAGAGTGAGAGTAAGTAAGAGCCAGCGAGAAGATGAGAGTGAGAGCGAGATGAAAAGTGAATGAGAGCAAGAGTGAGAATAAGAGTGAGACGAGAGAGAGCATAGTGAGTAAGAGCCAGCGGAGAGTGAGCGAAGAGTAAGAGTGAGTAAGAGCCAGCAAAAGAATGAGAGCGAGAGTGAAAGCGAGAGTGAGAGCAAGGGTGAGAGCCAGCGAAAGGATGAGAGTGAGATTAGAGCAAGAATGAGAATAAGGTGAGAGTGAGAGCCAGCGAGAGGCGAGAGTGGAGAGAGTGAGAGTGAGAGAGCCGAGAGGATGAGAGTGAGAGTAAGAATGAGAATAAGAGTGAGAACGAGAGTGAGATTGAAAGCCAGCGAGAGATGGAATGAGAGTGAGAAAGTGTAAGGAATATAAGAGTGCAGAGCAAAGAGTGAGAGCGGAGAGAAGGTGAGTGGAGAATGAGAATAAGAGAGCCAGAGAGATGAGAATGAGAGTAAGAGCGAAAGTGAAAATAAGAGTGAGAGCTGAGGATGAGCGAGAGTGAGAGCAAGAGTGAGAGCGAGAGTGAGAGCCAGCGAGAGGATGAGAGTAAGAGCGAAAGTGAAAATAAGAGTGAGAGCAAGAATGAGAATAAGAGTGAGAGCAAGACGAGAGCGAGAGCGAGACCAGCGCGAGAGAAAGAACGCATATCTCGGGCTTCGGAGACGCACGCGTGGCTGTTTGTGTTTAATGAATGGCGGTCGATATGCGTCCGTGGCAGTGAGTGTGACTGGCAAGTAAGTACCTTTATTGACCGTTGCTCTCTCTTTCTCTCTCTTTTTTTCTTTCTTTCTTTCTTTCTTTCTTTTTGCTCTCTCTCGTCTTTCTTTTTCTCTTTTCTTACTCTCACTTTCTCTCTGTCTCTGTCTCTCCTCTCTCTCTCTCCTCTCTCCTCTCTCTCTCCCTCCTCTCTCCTCTCTCCTCTTCTCCTCTCCCTCTCTCTCTCTCTCTTCTCTCTCTCTCTCTCTCCTCTCTTCTCTCTCTCTCTCTCTCTCTCTCTCTCTCTCTCTCTCTCTCTCTCTCTCTCTCTCTCTCTCTCTCTCTCTCTCTCTCTCTCCTCTCTCCTCTCTCTCTCTCTCGTGTGTGTGTGTGTGTGTGTGTGTGTGTGTGTGTGTGTGTGTGTGTGTGTGTGTGTGTGTGTGTGTGTGTGTGTGTGTGTGAAATAACAAAAACAAGAGAAATGAACAAATGCCCGCAAAGATGTTTACAAATACCATGTTTAAATCTCGATGTTCACTTTTTTCAGAATAATGGAACAATTGCATTTCTCTCACTACGCGAAGGTCAT